ATGTTTTTCTATTAACTGTGACTTTCTTGACTGTATTAACAATATCCTATCTCCAGCATATAGCATAATATAATGTTTGTAAATAAATGATGCCTGATCAATAAAACAATAAAAGCCTAAGACATTTCTAAAAATAATTCTCTAGTCCATTTTCTGAACCTGGATAACAAAAATATTTATTAATTTATTAATTTTAATCTATATGGCCTCCTCCTTCAATAGCCATTCTTATCTACTAATTTTCCTGAAATATTATACTTTACCTAACATTTTATTCCATAATTACCCTTCATTATCAGATATATTAAGGGAAACAGCAGTCCAATAATTGAGATCAGGCTTTTAGAACACAGCACTTTTTTTGTCCCCAGGTAGAAGTAATTATTTTTACCCTTTCACTCTCAAACCACCTTAGCAATGCATCTTCTTTGTTGAAACCCACCCCAATTATTACCTCATCAGCTGGTATTTCTTTCTCTGAATGGCCATAGAATGTATCACCCTAAATAAGTTACAGTTCTGTGGGAGTTTCTTGAACAAGCTGACAGAAGTATTGGGAACCGAGAGGGAACCACGTAGACATGGTGTGGGAGACACGGTGACATGGACCTGCAGCAGCTATTTTGAAAATTTCCAAGTCATGAAGACATAGTAAAAACCATGGTGGTCAATTGTAAATGGAAATATGGAGGAAAGACAGCAAAACAAGGTCTAATAATGGAACATAAGACACCAACATAAAAATGTGTGGAAGGGCGAGAATGGAAAGGGAGGATGGCCAGGCCTATACATATGCTTTCCAAAGACAAAGAGCTAATACATGATTTTGTTCTTGAAGATAGCAACGTATCCTTACGACTGGAGAAAAAAAAATGTGTATGTGATAAGTTGGTTTCAAATTATGGTACATGCAATATAGAAGACTGCCAGAATAGTCCATTAAAAAGAAACCTGAAACTCAGTCCAGGGACCATCAGTCACAGCCAGAAGAGGGGAAGGAGCGGAGCCATGTTTGCGTTTATCGGCTTGAAGCACACTTTTGAATCGCTGTGGATACATTGTCCTTTATTTCGATTCTTCATTGGCCAGGGAACAAACACAGGGATGCATGGAAGGCAGCAGTTCCACCATTGAACCAGCAATGCCCTCCAACGTACCTAGATAAAGCGCCGTGTTCCCAGTCATCACACAACAGTCACTGGTGTTTGTGCTCTGCTAATACGGAACAGGTTTCAGCAAAACTTCCAGACTAGGAAGGATTAGAAAGAAA